TTTCTGAACTAAGCTACCTACCAGAAAATCCCCTATAAAAAGTAATACATATTATAATCTGCTTGCATAACTTAGTAATTATATAATTCGTGTATTTATATGCTGAAACATTGAATGACATGTCGTTATATACAACTTGTTAATGAATAAGCGCACAACCTTTTATGTGATGATTGTGATCATGATATGAACAACTTTTACTATGGGCCGACTCTGCAACTAAAAAAAATCAACTATTTCATACAAATTATTAATACATAGGTACTAGATCAAACTAGAATGTATGAAATAGCAGATTTTTTTATAGAGGACGTGCACTTATTCCTTAACACGTTTTGTATGTGTTTCCATTTTTCCTATGTCTTTGTGAAAGTTTATTTCATGAGTGTAACGGTTAGATAAAGCACCATAATGTTTTTTGTTTTCGGAATGAACATGGAGAGTCGATCGCGAAAGAAAAGAAATAGAAGAAAACTGGGATCTCGACGATACAGAGGTTATCCGACGGAGATGTTAGAAGTTGCCGTTGAAATGTTAGAAAAAAATTAATTTCCAGTAGGGATGCCAAAAAGCAGTTCGGCATTCCACGTCGAACTTTATTAAATAAAATGAAAAAGGTGCATATGAACTCCACGGGGAGAAAAAAAATTAACGGACGAAGAGGAGGAAAAGTTAGTCGGTGTACTAATTGCTGCCGCAAACTTTGGTAGTCCAATGACTTTTTTTTTTTTTTATAGAAGAGGGGGCAAACGAGCATGTGGCTCACCTGATGTTAAGTGACTACCGCCGCCCATAATCAACCGCAACACCAGGGGAATTGCAGGTGCGTTGCCGGCCCTTTAGAAAGGAGTAAGCTCTTTTCTTGAAGGTCCCCAGGTCGTATCGGTCCGGAAAAATCACCGGTGGTAAATTATTCCACAGAGAGGTTGTACGCGGAAGAAAACTCCTTTTGAAACGTACAGTGGTGGACCGCCAAGCATCCAGATGGTGTGGATGGTATCGGGACGTTTGCCGTGTAGTGCGTTCACGAAATTTGGCGGCTGGGATTAATCCGAACAATTCCTCAGAGCACTCCCCGTGATAGATGCGATAAAATACGCAAAGAGATGCAACATCTCTTCGCAGCGCCAGTGAATCGAGCCGATCGGAAAGCACTCGGTCGTCGACGATTCGAGCCGCTCTGCGCTGGATGCGGTCAAGTGGAAGGAGCTGGTACTGGGGAGCCCCAGCCCAGAGATGGGAACAGTATTCCGTGAGCGGCCGAACCTGCGCCTTGTAAAGTTGCAAGCGGTGTGCCGGCATGAAATACTGTCCCGCTCTGCTGAGCACGCCAAGCTTTTTAGAGGCCAATTTGGCCTTCCCTTCCAAGTGACCACGAAACTGCACGTCACTCGATATGTCGACACCGAGGATTCCGATACTGGCTGAGGCAACAAGGGGAGTGCCTTGAAACTGAGGGGATACGACAAAGGGGTTCTTTTTAGCGGTTAACGCGCAAACTTGTGTCTTCTGGGGGTTAAACTGGACTAGATTTAGTCGCCCCCAATCCGAGACTCTGTCCAGCAGAGACTCGACTTCAGACACAAGTTTGTCCCGGCACTAAGAGACGTTTTCCCGAGAAATATTGGCTCGGCCGGTGTAAAGAGCATCACCAGTGCTGTCATCCGCATAGCAATGAATGCTACGGGTTTGCAACATATCATTGATATGCAGAAGAAACAGCGTTGGCGATAGCACGCAGCCCTGTGGAACACCAGCATTAATAAGCTTGCAATCGGAGCTTGCACCGTCTACAACGACCTTGATGCTCCGATCTGCAAGAAAACTGGTGATCCAATCGCGCAATTTCTCGGGAAGCCCATAGGAAAGAAGTTTCGAAAGAAGCACTTTGAGCCAAACCCGATCGAAGGCCTTCGCATTGTCCAAAGTAACGGCCAATGCCTCCCCCTTGGACTCTACTGCCTCCGCCCATCTGTGAGTTAGGTAGACCAGAAGATCACCAGCTGACCTACCACGGCGAAAACCGTATTGGCGGTCACTAATCAGCTGGTGATCCTCAAGGTACCTCATGAGCTGGCAGTTTACAATGGACTCCATTGTTTTGGAGAACAAGGAGGTGATGGCGATAGGCCGGTAGTTGGACGGGTCTGAGCGGTCGCCTTTTTTTAGGGATCGGGTGGACGAAAGCCGTCTTCCATGATTTTGGGACTACGCCTAGGGAGTAGGAGTACCGGAAAAGACGCGTTAAAACCGGTGCCAACTCTGGAGCACACGTCCTCAGCACAATGGGGGGGATTCCATCAGGTCCACTCGACTTATGGATGTCCAGGGAGAGGAGTGCTTTGCGAACCGAGCGCTGAGTGAACTGCAATTCCGGCATGGAGCACTCACACCGCGGGATGGTCGGCGGCGTACTCCCCCCGTCATCGAGAGTCGAGTTAGACGCAAAGAAAGAGCCTAGAAGATCGGCTTTCTCCTTTGCGGTGTGGGCCAGTGAGTCGTCCTCCCTGTGCAGAGATGGAAGAGATGGCTGACAGAAATTCCACTGGACAGCCTTGGCGAGAGACCAGAATGCACGGGTTCCAGAAGGAAGACGAACTAGTCTCTCGCCAATTCTGCCTATGTTCTGACTTTGCCTTGGCAATGACTCTTTTGAAGGACCTAGAGGCGGAATTATACTTCTTTTTTAGAGCGCTGGTGTTTACATCCCTGGACGCTGATGCGTCAGCCCAGGCTCGGTAGCACTCCTGCTTATAGCATGATGCTATTTTATAGGAGCGACCAAACCATGGCTGAGATTTGCCTCCAATGGGCACCACAGAGGAAGGAATAAAAAGTTCCATACCCTGAAGTACCACATCAGCGACAGAATCCGCAACAACGTTGGGATCATCCGGCGAGAAGCAAACCCGCCCCCAAGGGTAGGATGCAAAGAAAGACCGCATCCCATCCCAATCAGCTGACCTATAGTGCCAAACACGGCGGCAGCCTGCAGAATGCAACCGCGATTTCAGCGTGAGTGGCACCACACTCCGGACAAGACAATGGTCCGAGGAGCCTAAAGGGGCGTCGACGGAAATCTGATATCCGTCCGGGTGAGAGGTCAGCAGAAGGTCCAACAGGGAAGGTGCATGATCCTCCACATCTGGAATCCGCGTAGGCGAAGTAACCAGTTGTGTCAGACCATATGCCAAGGCAAAATCATGAACAGATCTCCCCGCATGATCGGTTAAACGTGAACCGAGCCATTCGGCGTGATGGGCGTTAAAGTCGCCGAGGATCACGATCTCTGCGGAGGGGATCTGCTGTAGCAACGAATCCGCAGCCATTTGGACGTGGTCGAAGAGTCGGTCTGTTTCGGCATTACCGCTATGGGACCTATAGAGGCACCCGTAGACGCGCGGATGGTCGTCGCTGTCTACGCGTAGCCAAAGGATGGACAGGTCCAAACCTTCAAGTCTGCCGAGGCGTCGAGAACAGATGTCCTCTCTGACGTAAACGCAAACTCCAGCCCGGGGCACAAAGGAGTGTTCCAGTTTGTACCCCGGACAGGAGAGATACGAGACATCAGCCGGAGAGGACACCTGCGTCTCGGTCAGAAAGAGCAGAGCCGGCCTCGCCGTCTCGAGATGGTAGTGGACGGCGTTTAGGTTAGAGTGAAGTCCCCTGATATTGCAGAAATTCACGGACAGCGTGGCAGGGGTCGCCTTGGTCTTGTTGCTCCGTTTGCCCCGAGCAGTTTTAGTCTTGAGCGGAATATTGCCCCCCCCAGAATACGCGGGGCAGCCTGAGCACCCACGCTCAGAAGTGGAGAAACATGGTCGTGGATGCTCAGCGAGGGATTCTCCAGGGGTGCTGGTACCCTCCTGGGGTAGTCTATCATTTAATTCCGCTACCATGTTGATGGGGGGGGGGGGGGAATTGGGCCTCCGGCCACCTGCAGATTTTATAATATATATCTGCAGGTGGCCGGAGTATATAATAATTCTAAATTGGATTTAAAGTTACTAGTTCATAAATATTTACAAAAGAATTCCCGAGCGGATTTATTTAATAATAAAATGTCTGGTGATGCCTGGGTAGAAATTTTTTTAATGAGGGACTCTTCTAAATTGTCCTTTCGAACAACCCAAAATATAAAACAAGTCCGAACCGAAAAAAGCTTGGAAGAAATGGAAGTTTACTTTGACAATTTGAAAGAAACCCTTAACGGTGTACCACCTTCAAACATTTTGAACTACGATGAAACCAACTTGGCAGACAATCCAGGCACTGCCAGGTGCATTTTTAGACGAGGGGTTAAATACCCAGAGCGGGTACTTAATAGCTCTAAGAGTTGCATATCAATTATGTTTACGGTATGTGCAGATGGGACCTGTCTTCCAACTTATGTTGTCTACAAAGCCACAAATTTATATTCTGAATGGGTGGAGGGAGGCCCTTATGGGACATGATATAATTGTACCAAATCTGGTTGGTTCGATTCTGATGCCTTCGAGGATTATTTTAAAACAATAATAGTTCAATGGGCGAAGAAAATATCAGGCCCAAAAGTCGTCATTGGCGACAATTTGTCGAGCCACATAAATATTGAAGTCGTGGAGTTGTATCAACAACATGATATCCGATTTGTATTTTTAGCACCAACTTCCACTCATCTGACCCAACCTCTGGATGTTTCGTTTTTTGGTCCACTGAAAAGGGAGTGGAGAAGAATTCTATTTTGATAAGAGAAGAAATTCTATTTATTTATATAAAGTCAAGAATCCTGGTCAAACTACACTCAATAAAAAACATTTTTCTAAATGGCTGGCGGAACTAATTGAAAACATAAAGCTAAGGGAAACAAAAAATATTAAAAGCGGCTTCAGAGCCATAGGTATTTGGCCTCTCAATCCAATCAATGTTACTAAGAGAATACCAGAACTACATGACGAGTGAAATATGGAATAGACAATGCTTTACTAGAGTATTTGAAAGAAACAAGATCCCCAAATGCAATGACAGTGAAAAGAAGCAAAAAATTTAAAACAGAACCAGGAAAGTCAGTCTGCGTGGAAGATATTTCTATAAAAGCCAATAATATAAAGAAAACAAATGTGACAAATAAGAATAAAAAACCTATTAATACGGATGAAGACATTGTGATACCGATGTTAAATGAAAACACAGAAGAAAAGATAAAGACAGACGAAGAAATAGAGACGTATATATTGCATGAAGAAACAGAGCAAATAGTAAAAAAGAATCCCACAAAAATCACGTGTAAGTCTTGTAAGTTCCGCAGTTACACAAATTACACAAAATTATTCTCCATCGACATCAACTGAAAATGACAGTAGAAATGAATTGGTAGTACCATTGTCGTTATCATATAATCCAAATAGTATAAAAGCAATTTGTATTGATATGATCAATAATAACATACATTCATTAGTCCAAAATATTGGTTCGGAATCGCCAGATCTATACATTTTAGGTGAAAATTTGAGAAGTCGCGAAGAATATTTATCGTTTATAGCATATGATGAAAAAGATTTACATGTTTGTTTACAAACACAAAATCTACCGTCGAAAAATTCTCCAAGTGGGGATAAATTGACTGCAAACAGTTCTCCTAAAAAATTAGTTATGTATGATATAAAAGTATCTTCATGTTTTCGAAAATTCATTCATCGATGTAAAAGTGACTTCAACTGCTAAGACAACCTCAACTAGGAAGAAAGAACATATCAAGAAAAAAATTTTGGGTGCTGAAACAATTCGAGACTCTGCACTACATATGAAGTTATATCCTAAGCCAAAAAAATCAAATGCAAAACAAGACAATATTCTAAAAGAAATAGAAATAAATAACGTTCAAATAAAATACAAAACAGAAAACGTAAATCTAAGAAAAAGAAGAGAAAGTTAGATAGATATGTAGTAGAATCAAGCTCTGAAAACTCAGACATTATGACCGTAGTAGATACGGAAAATTCTGAAAACGAATCCATGGAAGATTTTATTAAAAAAATATTTACTAGAGGAAGATTACAAAGAAGAATTCAAAGAAGATTACACAGAAGATGTTTCGTTTTTTACAGGCAATCCGAGTAACATAAAAAAAGATGACTGGATATTGGCAAAATTTGCCACAAAAGTTTAAAACATTACGTTGGACAAGTCATAAGCGTTAAAAATGAAATTCCTACAGTGAAATTCTTAAGAAAAATGAAAAATGCCAAAGGCAAGAAATTTGCGTTCACGTACCCAAATGTAGAAGACACTTGTGAAATGATGCACTTAAATGACATAATTCTAGTGTTGCCTCAACCAAATATTTCGCGGAGGGGTCAGATAATATTTGATATAAATTTTAGTGAATATAATGTGCAATAATTAAAAGTAAATTTTATTGATCTTTATTTATATAAATAAGCTTTTATATTTCGTTATCTGGATGTAGTAAAACAATGCGTTTTGTTGGCTATATTGATAACTGTTTCTAATTTTGGACGGTTTTGGATTACTTACAGTTCAGGTAGCCAACTGAGTACTTATGTCATAAGATGATAGCTAATTGCTAAAGGCAGATGTTACAATGATTTCATGTCAAACTTGGTTGTCCACCAAAGCTGTTAGACTTACAAAATAGGTCCGTTGACTTTTATTAAACGATGATCTCATAAAAATACTTTTGTTCCTGAGTACATTCCTAAGTTTTTTTTTAATTTAAATAGGTAACTTATTGTTCATAGGGCTTGTCTTTATTCCATTGTGTTTATTGAAGTTTTTGGTTGACATTTTTGTTATTAAATTATTTACTCCTTCTACCACATGAGTAACTAGGTTCACGCATTGATCTCTGAGAGTATCAGTTGTAGGTAATAATTTTATTCTTTTTTTTATAATCTTTTGCGTTTATTTGTTGATCTCAAGATTACATTATTTTTATGATGCTAATTTAAATAACATTTTTATTTCTTTTGTGCAATACAATGTCTTAAATAGTGACAACCTTAGTGCATACTTTCGTTTGTATGGAGAATGTTAAAAAAGGCTTGGCAACTTTATCCACTCCATTTTTGTGGCCGATGAGTACGTGTAGTGGTTTCTTATATGATACAGTGCAACATTGCACCGTTTTTTTATCATACTTCTTAAAACACTTAATATATAGATCAAAATATCGAAGCTACCGTGTCAAGTGGGCAAACATGGCCATTTTTTAAATATTTGGCCCACTAAAACCTTCCTAATTAACCTTCTAAATTAACTTTTTTTGCAAGTATACCATTTTTTAATATAGTAATTTTCAAATTTAAGTAAACCTAGAAACATTTTCGACTACTTATTGCAAGTATTTTATTAAATATGTTTATAATTTTAAATTAAATTAGAGTAACGCATAAAAAGCGGGCAAAGTTTCCACGTTTTACGGTATTTTTATAGCGAGGTACGTTGTGTCGGGGCATGTCTATGATTTTGGTGTAAAAACTTGGGTGTCTTTTTACAAATTTACATATTTCTAATATATTATATAGGCACGGTAATGTTAGAATTTTGAGACTTTGAAAGTGAGGTTTGCAGCTTTCTCTTTGTTTGATATTTGCAAGTACGCGTATACATTTTTTTTGTAAAATAAAAAGTTCGCGTGATTCTACACTGTTGCCCCATAGTATGACGCCGTAGTTTAGCCACGCTTGAGCGTAAGCGTGATAGGCTGTCACTGCCGTTTTTAAAGCATTTATAAATTGTGATAATTTTAACTTCTTTTTCGAATATGTGATTTAAAATTAACATTCGAAACACATTCTAATTTTGTTTGTTTATATGTATAATTTGTTATTGTTTTTGTCGTGGTCTGAATTGTATTAGTTTAGTTTTTTTTTAAAATTGACTTCTAAATTATGATTGCTTAGCCATTGTTTAACTTTATTTATAATTATGTCGATTCTTTCATTAAGTTTGGTACCATTGATATAAGGGAACACAACGGAAAAATCATCGGCAAACATCACACAAAGCTCATCAATAATCTTGGGGAGGTCATTGATATAAATAAGTAAGAGGACACATCCGAGTACGGACCCCTGAGAGAATGTCCCGCACCGGCTGAGCCCTCGATCTGACACATGTTATGGTTTTTGAATCTTGATCTACATTTTCTATTTAGACGTACTGTGAACGATTTCTGAGAAAGGAAGCAAACCACTTATGAGCCACACCACGGATACCAATGTCATAAAGTTTATTTAAGAGAATGTCGTATTTATTTTTTTCATATGCTTTTGTCATGTCTAATAAAATTCCTATTGCGTATTTCTGATCGTTTAATATGTTCAAGACTTCATTAAAGTATTTAAATATGGCCAGGGTTGTCGAGCGGTATTTTCTAAAACCCTTTTAGGGCGTTATCGAAAATATTGTACGTTTCACAAAATTAGTATAATCGTTTGAACATAGCTCTTTCAAAAATTTTTGAAATTACGGGTAAGAGTGCAATGGGTCGGTAGTTATTGGGGTCCGTTTTTTTTGTCTTTTTTATGTATTGGCTTTATAATAGCAATTTTTAGTAGGTCAGGGAATACTCCTTCAGAAAAGGATTGATTTATAATTAAAGTTAACGACGGAACCATTTCTTCGGCACATTTTTTAATAAGAGAAGAGATGGACGGCAGCTCATCAACTCCGAAGCTAGATTTTAATTTTAGTTGTCGCATCAATGACTACCTCTCGTTCATCCACGGGTTAAGAACATCGAGTGCAGGGAGGGGCGCATAACCGGGCGGCCGCGTGGCGCGAGCGCACTACCTGCCGCGCCGCTCCCGACTGACGCGAACAGCTTGTTAAAACATTAGAAACCTCATACGGGTCAGATATTGTTTTATTGTAGATATGCAATTTAATATTTTCATTATATTTTTTACCTTAACATGCTTTGTTTTTTCATTTATTATTTGCCACATACATTTAATTTTATTAGTTGCTTTATTCATTCTTTTAATTGATTGTAATTGTTTTGATTTTATTATTACCTTTTTTTAAATATTTTTCATATTGTTTGTAATAATTTTGTAAAATTTTATTTTTCGAAAACATAACATGAATTTTTAGTAATCTTTTATGTTTACAAGATTTTTTAATACCGTATGTTAGCCATGAGTTATGAGTTAGACACGGATATGTCCATCGGTTATGATATTTTTGAGGGGGTGTTTAATCCTTCAATTTCGCTTGAAACGAAAAAGTTTGGAGAGTTAGCGAGTAAAGACTTTTGTCGTATTACTTTATTTATTTATTTGATTATTTTGCATAACGTGTAAGTTTTACAGTTGTTATAAAAAATATAGTACAACAACACATTAACCATTTCTAGTGTACAAAATGATATAAATTAAAAAAAATTAAGTATTATTAACTACAATATAGATTAAAATTACAAAAAAAAACCATTGATAATAATTAACAAACAAAAAACATAAAAATAAACTAAAGCGACGTAATAAAACAAAAACATTTACTACTAATTGCACTATTATATTATTAATATTTATATTTTCCTGTCACATTAGATATTATGTATTAAAATATTATTATTAAAAATAGTCCTAAATTTAAAGATATTGTTTTTCCAACAACTCACTAACCGAATAAAAAAGATTTATTAAATAGCCACTTTTTCAACTCGTTCCCGAAACTCTTCCTTGGTTGTAGTTTTATGTTATCGGGTATAGCGTTAAATACTTTTATTTTATATGGCAAAATGTCCAAAGTTTTATCTATTCTTCTTCACTAAAGTCTACAAGAAGACTTGGACCTCTACAACTGTAGGATTCATCATCATTATTACAGCCCTTGACCAGTCCACTCCTGAACATAGTTCTAAACCAAAGAATGCCTCAAAGCATGGTCATGATCATGATATTGCATACATCAACTTCCATCGCATGTTTTACCAGGTCGTCACTAAATCTAGTGGGGGGCCGCTCCTTGTTTCGTCTACAAGTACGAGGCTGCCTTTCAAGAACCTTGCTTCCCAATCAGTTGTCGGTTCTTCATCCTACGTATATCGCCGGCCAGTAGAGTAATTGATTCACAGGAAAACTTAACAGATCATTTATGATAGTAAATGGGGAGTATCCGACGCACAGGATAATCACCATTGTTGTTGAAAATGCTAATTTAATGAAATATAATCAATGTATGCTATTAGTAAGAGAGAGCTCAGGATTTTCAATAAGGTGGTCTTCGTAGGATGCGCGGTTCTGGAGATGTGTAAATCAATTAACTAATACCTAATTAATATTCGGTGGGCCTGCACCCTTATTAGCGTTCCATTGTTCAGCCTTTCCTCTTATCTATTGTTCCTTGAACACCGTCATTGCCGTTCAATAGAATAGAATAATGTTTATTCAATATAGATTACAAGTAATTCTTTTCGAAAGTCAATTTTTTACTTTACCGTTTTTTCGAAAAAAAAAAACACATTTATCCTGGGTTTCTGTCTCTGACCAGAACCAGCAAGAAACGCAGTGGGACTTTTTATAAATAAATTTTACAATGTCAATGGTCACAAAATATTAACAAAATTTATTTTAGAAACAGCTTGGAATCGACCACCTCATTCCAAGGGGTTATTATAAACCATGTATTCATTTATATAATAATAACCCTTTTTATACAGTATTTGTTTAATTGAATATTTAAACTTGGTTGTAGAGACTTTATATATTTTCTGGGACTCTATTGTAATAGCTTATACATTGCCCCAAGAATGAAATACTGACTCTGTGGAGTCGAGAAACAGTTATCCCTAGCGTTTAAATACATAAAATTTTCATAGTTATACTGAGAGACTAAAGTTAATGTATTTATTTCTCTCGGTTTAAAGTTGTAAATAGCTCTTATGGCCCTCTTCTGCAAAACAAAAACAGTATTTTTTATATTATTGAACTATTTGTTCTGATGTTAGTAGACCTACTCAACTTTTTTTTTAATTATATTTGGATTTTTCATTCTTCTTTCTTAATTTTTTTTTAATTTGCTGCTTGATTTGGTGTTTCTTCTTTATATGGTGCTCAACACGTGAAAGATTTTTTTAATTACGCCGTAAATTACCGTGAAATTGATAATCGCGATATACCCGATACAATTCTCAGCGCTGCCAACAGACAGAAGTGGCAGAGATGCCATGCGTTGTGGGGGACCTTTGGGTAAATGAATGTTCCGATTTCGAGGCCAAAATAGGACTGATTAGTTAAAATAGTACCGTTCTTATACACTTAAATCTAACAAAGAAAGGTTAAAGATCCCGTTTGTGAGTTGGTTTTAAGTGACGGTTTCCAATGACCATCTTAAACTTACATTGTACGATCGTATTACAGTCTCGATTCTAT